ACTTATTATAGGTGGGAGGGTCTATTAACTATAGAATAGGTGTGTTCCGCTATAACAATAGGTGATGAAAAATGGGTTTTGCATGTCAATGGAAAAAATACAAACAAAGACAGAGTGTTTATCACAAAGTGAGGAACCAGCACCAAGATCAAAAACAGGACTTCATCCATAGCAGATCTTCTTTCAAGTCTGGTCGAAAAGTGTCGTCCATTAGGATCCGTCGGAACATGAAAGGACCAAAACTGAAGTCATTTATTCCCAGCATTACATCGAAAGTAAACAGAAAAAGGTGCTATTCTTTAGCATGACAATGCAAGGACACACTCTGAAAAACAAGCCCAAGAAAAAGTTAAATTATTAGAATTCATTGATTTGTTTTTAAGGTTTACCAACTTTTTGCGGGTTATTTAAATCCAGAAAATATTTTTAGATTGAAAAAGGCTTTTGAAGATAATAGTAATTTATTAATACAAGTCCTACTAATTAATCCGTAGCTATAGGAAGAAGAGATGGAGTGATACCTTACTCAAGGGTATTTGCGCGTAAGTGAATATAAAGAAACTAACTGGAATTCGAACTCAGTTCTCCGATTTCCAATTCCGAGCCATTATCTATTACACCACCGGCACATCCAAGCCTACAGCGTTTGGTATTTTCAAGCGGTCACCCATCTAGTTACTGACCAGGCTCGACATTGTTTAACATCTGTGATTGTACGATAACCGGTGTTTTAACGTCATATGACTGTAAGCCTTCAGACTGGTGGATTGGGAGGCTCTTCCTCAACATTATCAGAGTTATCCCCCATGGATTTTCATTTGTTTTGATCTCAAGGATATTTCCTTATGATCTCGAGGATATTTTATTAGCGGTAGAAGAAAAAGTTAAAAACTGTTTTTTAAACTTTTTTTTTTTGGTGAAAATAAAAAATTTAAAAAAGAAAATTTGGAAAGTTTGCCTTACCGTTGGGTTGCAGTCAAATGTAAATGATCACCTTTTCGATAAATAATATTTAAATCAGTGTTTCGCACGCTTTTTAAACAACGGCACACCTAAGAGTAAATGAAAATATCACGGCATACTTATTAACATTTTTATCGAAAATTTCGACAATATTAATTCATATTAATATTAATTCGACATTATTAATTCATAATCCAATATAACTTTGTAAAGATTTTGAATTAAACAAAGAATGTTGAATACAGTTATAGGGGAGAAAAAGGTTAATATTCATTTATTCATATAAAGAAAAAATTTTAAAAGTTAAATTTAAAAAAATGAAATACTTTTAAGGATATATATTAAAATAAAGTATTTAAAATACATAATCGAAGAATATCGAAAAGAATTATTTGAAAAGAAAAGTTTAATAATTATTCATTTACTCAAATACTAACGCTTTACCATTATTAATTCTGCATATATATGTTGTAACCTAGAGAAAGTTACTGAATAGAATAATAACACGAAAGTTTGTAATGAACGATAATACTTAGGAGAAGAACAACACATATAAGATTCGCCAGCGGCGAGTAGAAGAAGTAGTTTACTGCTAGAAGGAAATCAAGGGAATTCCACAATGAATCTCCAACTTCAGGATAACTACCAACCGCGCCACGCGGTCAAATGTTGCACAAGGCTGAATTTAATGTGGGGTATCCCAGACCGTAGGTTCGGCCAAAAATTCCCCATAGACCCCGTATAAAACGGGATCGGGTAGGTGTTTCCCGAGACGAGAGGTTGCCGTTCGGCATAGCCTCGTCTGAGGATTCTCTCAGCCTGGAGGCAGAGAGTTTGACCATCACAGCTGGAGACGAATCCCCTACCAACCATCCCACGCTGTCAAATGTGGCACATGGTCGAATTTAATGTCGGGTATCCCAGACCGTAGGCTCGGCCAAAAATTCCCCGTAGACCACGTATAAAACGGGGTCTGGTATCCGTTTCCAAAGACGAGAGGCTACCCTTCGACATAGCCTCATCTGGGGATCCTCTCTGCCCGGAGTCAGAGAGTTTGACCATCACAGCTGGAGACGAATCCCCAACAGAAGGATATCTACCAACCGTCCCACGCTGTCAAATGTGACACAAGGTCGAATTTAATGACCGTAGGCTCGGCCAAAATTTCCCCATAGACCCCGTATAAAACGGGGCCGGGTATCCGTTTCTCGAGACGAGAGGCTGCCCTTCGACATAGCCTCATCTGGCGATCCTCTCTGCCCGGAGTCAGAGAGTTTGACCATCACAGCTGGAGCCGAATCTCCAACTGCAGACCAACATACAGTATTTATTACTGTATTTATATGAATGGGGACATACCCATTATCGTCCGTAGGTATGCTACAACAATATATATGCCGTGACAATATTTCGCGGCACACTTTTCGCGGCACACATTTTGCGGCACACTTTTCGCGGCACACTTTTCGCGGCACACTTTTTGCGGCACACTTTTCGCGGCACAAAAGTGTGCCGCGCACGGTGGTTGAAAATCACTGATATAAATATATGTAACCTACTTTTTTTATATATAATTTCTGGTAAGACGTAATTACTTTTCAAACACCCTAATATTTGTACTACTTGTATTAAGTATCATTGTGCTTGCGCATATAAGATTGTGCAGCTCCAATCCGTTTTAATTCAGATAAAACTTTCATAAGGCCTAATATATGGAGCGCTGGTGGAAGTAGCAAAAACTAAGTTTTATACGATTTTATGCAAGAGTTCCGTTTCTTTGACGGCATCAAGCAGCTATTGTGTACGCGAGTTCGTCGGGTATTGTGTTGTTTTATGCGTGTGCCGGTGTTGGGGAATGACTATTCGCGTGTGTCCACAGTTCAATATCAAGAGTCAATATTCTGGGCAAGGTTGGCGCGTTTCTACAAACGGACAGCAGGACAATGACACAAGGCTTTTAGTCTGTTCTCTAATTTCATTCCTTTATTCTATCACTGATATTTAGTCTTTCTTTCATTGAATCTTTTGCGTTTCTTTCTTCTTTTGTGCTTTGCTTTTCTTCCTTTCAATTATTTACCTATTATTTTCTATCTTTCATTCTTTTTTCTTTCACTTTTTCGCCTATTATTTTTTTCTTTCTTTCATTTTTCTTACTTTCTTTTATTTTTCTTTCTTTCATTTTTTTTTTATCTATTCTTTTTCATTCTCTCATCTTTTTCTGGATTTCATTTTTCTTTCTTTCACTGATTTACCGATTCTTCTTTTTTTCATTTTCTTTGATTTCACTTTTTGCCTGTTATTTTTCCTTCTTTCTTTCCTTTTCTTTCTTCATGTCATTTTCTTTCTTTCACTTATTTACTTATCCTTTTTCTTTCTTTGTTTCTTTCTTTCCTTCTTTCTTTCACTATTTACTTATTATTTTTCTTTCTTTCACTTCTTACCAATTATTTTTCTTTCATTTTTCTTTCTTTTACTTTCTTTCATTTTTACCTATTATTTTTCTTTATTTTGTTTTTCTTTCTTTCTTTTATTTTTCTTTCATTCACTTATTTATCTATTCTTTTTCATTTTTCTCATCTTTTTCTTGATTTCATTTTTCATTCTTTCGTTTATTTACCTATTCTTTTTCTATCTTTAATTTTTCTTGATTTCATTTTTTGCTTATTATTTTTCTTTCTTTCTTTCATTTTTCTTTCTTTCATTTTTCTTTCATTCTCTTATTTAGCTATTATTTTTCTTTCTTTCTTTCATCTTTCTTTCTTTCTTTCATTTTTCTTTCATTCTCTTATTTAGCTATTATTTTTCTTTCTTTCATTTTTTCTTTCTTCATTTTTCTTTCTTTCTTTCATTTTCATTCTCTTATTTAGCTATTATTTTTTCTTCTTTCGTTCATTTTTCTTGCATTCACATTTTTAGCTATTATTTCCCTTTCTTTCTTTCTTTCTTTCACTTAATTACTTCTCATTATTATTATTTTTCTTTCATTCAGTTATTTACATTCATTTCTTTCACATTTTCCCTATTATTTTCTTCCTTTCTTTTTCGTTTTTCTTTCTTTCTTTTTTTGGTTCTTTCACTTATTTACTTATCATCCTTTCTTTTATTTACTTATTTACCTTCTTTCTTTAACTTTTCCGTATCATTTTTCTTTCTTTCACTTTTTACGAACTTTCTTTTCTTTCTTTCCTTCCTTCTTTTCTTCCTTTTTTCTTAATTCATTTATTTATCTTCCTCTCTTTCACATTTTCCCTATTATTTTCATTTCTTTCTCTTTTTCTTTCTTTCTTTCTTTCTTTCTTTCTTTCTTTCTTTCTTTCTTTCTTACTGGCTTGCTATCTTCTTTCTTTCTTTCTTTCTTTCTTTCTTTCTTTCACTTTTACCCATTATTTTTCTTTCTTTCATTTATTTCTTTATTAATTTTCTTACCATCTTTCTTTTTTCTTTCATTCACTTATTTACCTATTATTTTTCTTTCTTTCTTTCTTTCTTTCTTTCTTTCTTTCTTTCTTTCTTTCTTTCTTTCACTAATTAACCATTCTATTGTTAGTCTATTTTTATTTGTTTTAATATTTTCTGCTGATTTTTTTTCTATTTTCTCTCTTTTTTCAGCTTTTTCTCTATTTCATATATTTTCCTTTTCTTTTCTCTATTTCTTTATAATTTTCTCCTCTTTTCTTACTTACAACTATTTTTTCTTTCTTTTCATTTACTTACTTATTAATTTCCTTTCTTTCCTTTCTTTCACTTATTTATCTATTATTTACTTTCTTTCTTCTCTCTCTTTATTTACCATTTCTTTCTCCCCACACATTTTTAAAAGAGTTTGACACCAACTGGAATATAAAAAATCGAGAGAAAAGAAACGAATGAGGGAAGGATGAAAATAAAGGAAATTAAGGGAAAAAATGGTAAAAAAAAGACGCTGGAAAGAAAGGCAGAAAGACTACCCAAAGAAAAGAAAGAGAAATAAATAAAGAAAGGGGAGAAGGAAATCAAAACAAATTGCAAGAGAAAGAAAGAAGAAGAGGTAAAGAAAGTTAGAACGAAAGAAAATGAGAAAAGTAAGATAGTAAGAGCAAAGAAATAGACGAGAAAGAAATGAAGAAGAAAATTGCAAGCGAAAGAAAGAAAGAAAGAAAAAGGTCAACTCGTAGAAAGAAAGGGAAATATACCGGTAGAAAGAAAGAATGAAAGAAAGAAAGAAGAAAAAAGAAAGAAAGATAGTCAGCCTGTAGAAAAAAAGGGAAATATACTGGTAGAAAGAAAGAAAGAAAGAAAGAAAGAAAGAAAGAAAGAAAGAAAAAAGAAAGAAAGAAAGTAAGTCAGCTTGTAGAAAAAATGGAAATATACCGGTAGAAAGAAAGAAAGAAAGAAAGAAAGAAAGAAAGAAAGAAAGAAAGAAAGAAAGTAAGTCAGCCTGTAGAAAAAAAGGAAATATACTGGTAGAAAGAAAGAAATAAAGAAAGAAAGAAAAAAGAAAGAAAGAAAGAAAGAAGAAAAAGAAAGAAAGAAAGAAAGAAAGAAAGAAAGAAAGAAAGAAAAAAGAAAGTCAGCCTGTAGAAAAAAAGGGAAATATACCGGTAGAAAGAAAGAAACAAACAAACAAAAAAGAAAGAAAGAAAGTAAGTCAGCTTGTAGAAAAAAAAGGAAATATACCGGCAGAAAGAAAGAAAGAAAGAAAGAAAGTAAGTCAGCCTGTAGAAAAAAAAGGAAATATACTGGTAGAAAGAAAGAAATAAAGAAAGAAAGAAAAAAGAAAGAAAGAAGAAAAAAGAAAGAAAGAAAGAAAAAAGAAAGAAAGAAAGAAGAAAGAAAGAAAGTCAGCGTGTAGAAAAAAGGGGAAATATACCGGTAGAAAAAAGAAAGAAATAAGAAAAAAAAAAGAAAGAACGAAAGAAAGAAAAAAAAACGAAAATAACGTATAAATAAAGAAAATTAAAGAGAAAGAGAGAGAGAAAACATACATGAATAAGTAATCGGTACAGAAAATAAGGAAAAAAAAGATAGAGAGCGTAGAAAAAAAAAAAAAATAAACGAAGGCCAAAGAAAGTAAGAAATTAAAAAGAAGAAAACAAAGAAAGAAATAATGAAGGGAGCAAAAAAGAAAGACCATCGAAAAACAAAAAAAGAAAGAAAAAAGAACGAAAAAAAACTGTAGAAATGCAGACGAAGAAGAAATGCGAAGGAAGAAAACAAGATGAAATCGAAAAGAAAGGAAGAAAAAAATAATGAAGGAAAACGCGGAAGAAAACAATTTTCGAGTAGTCAGTTGGGCAGATCGAATCCCAGTACGCGCTGAATGTGATGAATCACGTGGTGAATCACGTGACGTCGCTCGTCTGATGTCGGAGCGGCGACTGCATGCTTCCCAACCTCGCCCCCCGTGTGTCCGGCTCGCCATGCACAAACCAAAGCTGGCCCACCACCGCCCCTTCAAGTATTTTCTCACACAAATCCCAACTCGTTCGGTCCTGTTTCACTTCTTCACCCACTCCCCGGCGAAACAACCGAAAAAATCGATGCGTCGAATGGATTCTTCCTAGGCAGAAGCAAGCAACCAAACGCCAGCATCTGAATCAGACCAAACGGAGCCCCGCATCGCGGCTAGAAAATCGTTCAGGAGGGCTTAGGGTGGAGGGGGGAATAGGGGGCAAGGCTAAGGGAAAGAAAGCAGGGTCTCCTGCAGAAAATATCGGGTCATCAACTATTGGGTCCTTGGCTTCGATTTCATTCTTTAGTAAAAAAAAAAAAGGTGGGGGAAGAGAAGAGAGAGGAGGAAGCCATTTTGTTTTGTTAATTTCTTTTTACTCTCTTTCTTTGTTTTCTACAACAAACGTCTGCTTTTCCCGCCTTTTGTCCCTTGGCGAACGGTGACCGACGTCGCCTAACTTCCTGTCTTTCCCCATCGGCCGTTGCTAACCAATAAGTTCCGACATAGAATCATAGAATTCCTGCTTCTCCACACAGACGAGGCGAACGGGTCGCATAAAGACGCACAAACAATGCTATTGCCTCCAGAATACCACTTGCACACACACACACACACACACACACACACACACACACACACACACACACACACACACACACACACATTCACGAGCAAACAACACACACATTGTCTCTCACTCTCAAGTTGAAAACAAACGTATATACGCACATACGCAACATAAACAAATCCACACTAAGAAAAATGCACACACACACACACACACACACACACACACACACACACACACACACACACACACACACACACACATTACAGAGAAACGCTCAAAACCAAGATCGACACAAGTTTCATAACACTGTCAGAAAAGCACCTAATGTGAGCGTGCACACACACACACACACACACACATTCACCAGCAAACAAACCTATATATACACATACGCAACACAGACAAACCCTTATTAAGAAAAACGCACAAACAACCACATACATTGCACACACTGTCAGAAACGCTCAAAGAAACGCTAAAAACCAAGATGGACAGAATTCTCATAACACTCTCAGAAAAACGCCTCACGAGCGCGTGCGAACACACACACACATTTTTTTTCTTTCTCACTCTCCCTTCATTATACGCACATACATGATACAAACAAATTCTCAGTAAAAAAAAACAACAAATATATGCACTCTCTCACACACACAAGCATACATGCACACGCGCACACACACATGCATACACACACACACACACGATCAGAAACGCTCAAAGCCAAGATGGACAGAAGTTTCATAACACTCTCAGAAAAAAAACAAACACCTAACACAAACACACACACACATGCACACGCGCGCACACACGCACGCATACGCACGCACACACACACATACACACAATCTCTCTCTTTCCCCATCGCCGGCACACCTACAAAAGCAATTGTCAACTTTACGGCCGTCGCGCTAAATGTAAACAATTTATGTGTATCAAAAGCTTTTTCGGTTTTTAATTGAGAGCTGTTGTATGTTTGGGAAGCGATGAAATATTTTACATATGGTATCGTTCGATGATTCAAGTCCTTCTAAAAGACTTTTGAGAGAGTAATGTCTGGTTCGCCTTCGCCAATTCTGCAAATAACTTCAATCGCTTCGAAGCCCAATTTAAAATAATTCCTCAAAATTGCTAAAATCTCAGTATTTGTATCTGCCATTATAACATCTGAAACAAAAAGCACAGCTGATCAGTACAGATAATCACAGACACACACACATATATTGTGTATATATACAGCAGCAATTTTTCATTGATGCATGTTTCATTAAATAATATAGACAAGTTTTGTCTATTTATTTTAAGTAAGTTCCTTTCATATTGTCTGATAAGCTTAATAACATTATCATTGAAAGACGAAAGGAAACCCTACTGATACATGTTTAAATCCGATCTAAGCTTTCGGCTTACATAAGCCATTATTAAAGATCACAATTACATTTCAATATATCAAACAATACACGGACGAAAAAAATAATGATAGTCTGTTTTTGTTGCATCAAAAATTTCAAAGCAACGACAAATTCGTGTATACGAGACGCGGAAACGAAAATCTCATCGCAGCTCGTGACGTCACACATGACCACGCGAGAGTGAAAACGAGAAGTATTAAGTATGGGAAGCCGTTGGTATAAACCAATGGCTTCAGTTATCAATTATGGGCATTTATATATATATATATATATATATTACAATAAACGTGCAATCAATTTACAAATACATGAATTATTCACACAAAACTAATGCAAAGGTTAATGATTTTAAATGGCGAGACATCCATCTCGCAAACAATTCAAATTGTTGTTCTTGTTTTTTTCTCTTAGTAAACATATCTTACAACATCTATTATATACCTGAAGATGTCTGTATGAACAGACGAAAGCTTGTGTAAAAATAACAACTAATACGGCAGAAATTTATATGAACAAGGATCAATTCATTCATAACGGATCTAAGGTTTTTGTGTAATATTTGAATTGTTTGCGAGATGGATGTCTCGCCATTTAAAATCATTAACCTTTGCATTAGTTTTGTGTGAATAATTCATGTATATATATATATATATATATGTGTGTGTGTGTGTGTGTGTGTGTGTGGTGAGTAACTTCCGATTTTATGTATTATGGACACTCCCGTTTTGTAAAAATTCTAGTCCATCGTATATAAAATATGCAGTTATATTTTCGAGTGAACTTCATTAAACTAAAATGTTGCTTATGTTTTTATTACTTTTGTTATTAAGCATTTATTGTGGATGATCTAGCGCCTAAAACACTTCGCCTTACTAAATTGCTTTCTCTTAATTAAAATATGTTTTATAGCGAAATTATGGTCAGGCTCATTCGTCTAGCCCAGAGGATCCCGATCGTTTTTGTGCCAACGCCCACTTTCACATGGAAATATTTCCTACAGCCCATCTCTATAGTAAATGTTGAAAAGCATAACAAAATTGTTTGGTAAAAGTTTGTTACTAGTTCATAAATTCCCTTTTATGATGTAGCAAAAGTAACAAAGGGAGATAATAAATAACCCTGCCTTATGCGGATGCTGCTGCTGCTACCGTATTAACGAATAAACGAAAGCAAACTTGACCATTGAAAATCGTTTAATTTTTTGTCAATACTTCCAACGCTAACCCTAACCATAAAATATATATATATATATATATATATATATATATATATATATATATATATATATCTTTTGTTTGTTCTTTAATACGGTAACAGCAGCATACGCATAAAGGCAGGGTTACTTATTTTATTAGTTGCTCATAGGTATATTCCTTATAATTTTATAATTTTGGAAAAAAACGTTTATATATATATATATATATATATATATATATATATATATATATATATATATATATATATATACAAATATAGATAACTATACTCGTTTTGAAAAACCCTCGAATTTTGATATTCCAATAATCAAATCAATCTCGAGGGAAAAAAGGTTTTAAAAAAAAGAAAGAACTACAAACATGAAAGTCTTTATCTCTCTCTCTCTCTCTATATATATATATATATATATATATATATATATATATATATAAATATATGGATATAGGTCCGATAGTATGAAAAATATACGGAAAAAAACAAAACAAAATCTAATATGCAATTATGCTGTTTTAATGTTAATATGTCAACGTCGACGTTTCGGTCTAATAAACCATCTTCATTTATATTTTTGAATATTTCTGAAGATGGTTTATCAGACCGAAACGTCTGACGTTGACATATTAACATTCATAATTGTATATAAGGATTTTTGTTTTGTTTTTTCCGTATATATTTTTCTTCATATATATATATATATATATATATATATATATATATATATATATATATATAGACAAAAAATTAAACGTTTTTTTTTTCTCCATAATTATAAAATTATAAAGTATATACACTACTAGCAACTAATAAATATTCAGCGAATATTTTCTTTGTTCTTGGTCTTTCCTTATCTGATTTATAGCCGAAAAAATGTTATTTCACCTGAAGAATTATTTAAATGTAAATGACCCTTCCCAAAACAACATGTTATACCAAAATATACGTTGTGTCTGGGTATATTTATATCTTATCTAGGAATGTGACACAACTATTCCCTTTTAGCTTCCTGTTTTTTTCTTCTTTTATACAGTTTCATTGCATATCTCCTTTGAATATTTTGTTCGCATAGCATATGTTTAAATAGGTTTTTAATACTCAGAATCCTAGATAATTCCCTAAAATTTCCAGTCACCTACCATTTTCTGTCCAGTTGCTTATTGCCCACCCAACAGTTGAAATCGCCCACCGGTGGGCGATATAACATAGATTGAGAAATCCTGTTCTAATATAACCATAAAGATTTTCTCATATGACAATTAATTCAAAATGAAAATAATAAAAAAAATAGATGCCAGCTTCTTTGAATATCTCCTTTGAATATTTTTTCGAGTGGTATATACCTTTCTAATGCTCGAAATTTCAAATTTCCAAGCATTTTCTTTTCAGATTCTAATCGCCCACCCAACAGTTGAAACCGCCCACCGGTGGGCGATAGCGCTCAGGTTGAATATTTCGTTTGAATATTTTTTCGAGTGGCATATTTTAAAATACCTTTCGTTTTTGTTTTCGTTGTTTTTCTACACTGCAAATTTTACACAGGAGCACACGCACGTGTTTCGTTGTTATTTTTATTATTTTTTTATTTTATTTTCTCTAGAAGATAATTAAACTCCGGCTAATGTCACGGTTAGGATCTCAGATTGAAATTTATTTTCAGCATTACCAAATAACTGAAAAATACATGGTTTGGTTTGGTTTGGTTTGGTTCGGTTTAATTTGCTTTGGTTTGGTTTGGTTTATTTTGTTTTACGCCGTATCAAATTCAATTGGTTAATTAATGCCTACAAGATTTTTTGGCTAGTTTCATATGAACAGAATATGTATTTTTTGTAATAAATCAGTTTGGTTTGGTTTATTTTGTTTTACGGCATGTCGGTACTGGGTTATTTATGCCGACAAGATTTTTAGAATAGTTTCATATGATATATGTATTCTTTGTAAGAAATTAATTCGTAAATCAGGTTTCATTGACGCATTTTTGAAAAGGATTTTTTTTTGTCGAGAGTCAAATGTATTGTTGGTAATATTTAAAAAAAATGTATTGCTGTTATTTTTACTATAAAATTCTATTTTTATAATTTCATATAGTTTTTACCCTACTTTGGGGGTTAACTATGTGCCCATAGCCGGGACCCTAAACAGGTGCTACCACCGCAGGTTAGATTGTCCTGGGAACAGCAGCAATTAAGAGCTGGTTCCACGCTCCTCAAAACCTCCTGATCAGAGGACTTGCTGCCGATTGTAGTTTATCGTCATGCCCAGGACGATTATATATGA